TTGTGAAGTGTTCATTACAAATGGATTAAAATCTATTAATTTAATTTAAATGGATTAATTAATGTAAATGGATTAAAAAAATAGAAATAAATTCTATTTCCTTTAACTAAAAGCATATTAGATTGAAGATGTTATGAGACACCAAGACAATGATTTTAAAAAGCGAAATCCATGAGAATGGTGCAAAGTAGTAAGCAAAAACCTTATCTGCCAAATGGAGAACTGTGAAACTACTGATAGAAGTATAGCTGACTAAATTTGAGGAGAACCCAATGGTTTCATTGTATTGACATAATTGCAGATCATATCTGTAAACTCTTCTGTGCACAGTGACTCTTGGGTGATGGACAAGTTTGCACATGGGAGTCCTTGTTACACAGCTCAGAGCAGGAGTGTAAAGAGACTCCTGGTAGCTCAATTTCCAGGTGGCAACAGTTCCTTGTTACTGACCAACTCTGACATCATGCTATCCTCATAAAATCTTTATTGCTACTGTTAGACCAGATGAATTTTAAAAAAATGCTTTATGGATTATTTTCATGACAAATTCATTGTATTTAGGTCTTTTAGTCACTCTCTGCTTCTTAAAACTATTTGCTTTTTTGTTTTCTGCAACATCCTTTCCCGCTCACTAAATACTTGGGACTCTCTAGTTAGGTAGATCTCTTTCAAATATAAACTCTGACACTTGCTATAAGTAAACTTTTTGAATATCGGTTTCCCCAATTTGAAAATAGGGATAAAAATTATGCTTTCTCCTTGAGTTATTGTGAAATTACAATTTGAATAATAAAAATAACTGTTAACCCTTGTATAGGACTTTCTATGAGTCAGACATTGTCTTAAATTATCCATTAACTATTTTAGGCTTCAAGCCAACTCTACAAAATCAGCATTTTTATTATCCTCAAGTCATAGCAGCAGAGTGCTTAAGTAACTTGGTAATGGCAATAGCTAGTAAATGGTAGAATTTGTAATTTGAAACCAAGCACTACGTGTGCTCTAAACCCCTGTGCTATAATGTATATAAAATGTGTGGCAAAACTACTTGGTAATAATAAGCACTCAATACATGATAGCTATTATCATCATTTAAATCATTTTCATTTGTAACCATTACTTCCTTCTCCGGCCCTGTGATTGATTCTGTGTCTCCTAGCCATGCCTATGATGTTGGGGTCCTTCAGAAACTTACCCTTTCCTTTCCTAATTCTACACATTCCTCTCTCTGGGTAACTTCATCTACTATCATAACTTCAATAACATTTATATGCTAATGATTTCACAGCTTTATCTTTTATTCTGGCTAGTCTTCTGAATTCCAAACACATATATCTACCTTTTTTTTTTTTTTTTTTTTGGACAGATTGACTTAATAATACCTGAAATGTATCATTTATCTGCTCCACCTTCCCGATGCATTAACAGAGCTACAATACAATTAGTCTTCCAAGCTAGCCACTTTGGAGTCAGCCTCTACTCCTTGCTCCTCTCTAAATCCAAGAGGTTATTAAATCCTCCCAATTTTATTTCATTAATGTCTCTGGAAACTAACACTCTTTACCTATGGTGCTACTGCCTCTATCCAGGCTTCCAGGAACCTCTTCATTCCAAACAAAATGAAGTTTCCACTGATGTCTTTGCTACTAGTCTCCCCTTTCAAATCCTTTCAGCCACTATTCCCAGGTCTTCGTTTTCTTATTTCTGACTAACCCTCACAGTAACCCTGTAACATAACATATGATTATTACACAATAAGATGATTATACATTACATGTGATTAGTAGCTAAGGCTTAGAGTTAGAATCAGTTATTTCATTTATGATTTTATAAATTCAGGAGGATTGGGTTACTCAATATTATGATGTGGCTGAGTGGTGGGTTGCCTGAAGTGGGATAGAGAAGGTGATCGGAGTCAGGGAAGCCAAGACCCTATAAGCTCTCCCTTTTTATGGATCATCTGCCCAGATGTGAAGTCACTTAAGATGATGGCAGTTGCCAGGGTGTGACAAAAAAAATGCATTGTCTTCTGAACTCTTCAACAAGTAGGTTTATAGTAGTGATAACTGAGGTAGAGAGAAGTAAAAGTGGACACCATATATGCCAAAAAGAGATATTCATCCAGTGATGGTAGAATATGCCCTGGAAACCACTTTGGCAAAGGGGAAAAATGCCAACCACATCATTTAATCCTATGGCACAGAGGGTGAGATAGAATAAGCAGCTTTCCCTGGACTGGGCTGTTGGGGAAGCCATGAAATCAGAGGCCCAGCAGGCATCCATCAAGCCCAAGATATGCAGAGATGCTCAGTGAAGAGAGTGACAGTGTGGAAGTTTGCAGGAACAGCAGTCAGTTCAAAATGGAAGAAGTTAGGAGGAAGGTGGTTCGGGACATCGTGTCTGGTGACAGAAGCCCAGGAAAAATGAAGGACTGGAGAGGTTTATATGCTGGGTTGTAGTTGACCACAGGTAACAGGTATGGCTGGCCCAGAGGACTGAAGAAGTTGCAGGTTTTAAACAGCACTTGCCCTGGAAGCCCAGATAAATGGCCATCTTAGGCTTTCCTGGAAAGATCTCACTAAGACTGGAATTTACTGTTTTTCTCATGAAATACTATCCCAGGAGAGCAGGTAGCATGTTGACTGAAATCCTTGGACCACTTCTAGATACCCTCTGAGCTAGGGCTGAAAGTATCATACTTATTAGGAATCTGAACATCAATGGCAATAAGATAAAAAGAAAGTAAAGTAAAGGGATAAAAAAATCTAACCAGTTCTCCCAAGTCTCAACCTCACTTACTGGCTCTTAGTACAATTACTTATGGAAGCTCCATTAAGGCATCCTAACAGAATACCCTTTGGTAAGTATTGCTTTAGTTGAAAGACCTTCTGAGGTAATTTACAATAAGAAACATTTTCAAGTACTGGGAAAAACCTGGGTTAATTCTTAATAATGAAGTAAGCTTTTTGTGTTTTAACTAAAGCTAAAGTTGAGCTTTAGTGAGGACTGAATTGCTCTTTATAATAAAGAAAATGAAAGAGCTTGTGTAAACATAGTAGAGAAATATTCTAATTGTGAAAATATTTATATAATATGCTGTTTCATAATTTAATAAAATATTTATTAGTAAAACTTATGAAATTATTTATGCTACTAAAAAGAAAGGTTCTAGATAAAATTATTAACATTATTTCAGTTAAGAAACATTGTACTGTGAATATCATACATTTTAAATGATTTATACTATGAGTGTGGTAGGTTTAATGTATGGCAACCAGTTTGAAAACATAAGCTTACCAAGTGTGACCAACAAGGCCAAGCATGAGAAAAAGAATGTACACAGTTTTTAAGAAATTCAGGCAGCCAATAATACTTCACACATATATCTTTCTGCATTAGATACATCTTTAGAAACACTGAAACTTTACAATTATGACAAAGTTGTTATCCAGGGAATATGCAATTTTGAAATGCCAGAAGGTTACTGGAAATTCTCTGATAAGCAATTCTTTGAAAAGGCATCAAGTAAGATTTATCTGGATTCCATGAAAGAAAATCTGAATAAACATAATGCAATTTGAACATTGTGTAAGTAGAGGCTGAGGGATATGAGTCTTTCTCTACAAATGGATCCCTAACCTGATGGCTAGCTTTCTTTATAAAATTGCATTTCATGTCTAAAGACCCCTATGGCAAGAGAGGATCAAAAGAAATCACTGTGTCACTTGACTGTGAATCTTTTACCAAATCATTTAAAAACCTTTCAGTAGAATTGATTTGGCACACAGCTATCTTATATATTCTAACTTCTTATTATATTAAAAATAAAATGAGTTATAGACTTTGGTTAGCAGAGAAGGAATGCATAAGAAGGATTTTAAGTGGCCTTCATAAAAGCTAGAGAAATGAGTTTTAAAAGCTTCTGAGTGTTTAATAGCTATTTTAGATAACTTGAATATTCTTAATAATTAGAATTCATATTTTAGCAAATTTGAGCCAGGCGCAGTGGCTCATGCCTGTTATCCCAGCACTCTCGGAGGCCAAGGCAGAAGTATCACTTGAGGCCAGCAGATGGAGACCAGCCTAGGCAACACAGTGATATCCCATCTCTACCAAAAAAAAATTAGGATATGGTCAGACAGAAGGGTGTTAACAGGGAATTCCTACAAGTAACTAATGTTAGAAGAAATATAAGCAGCATTGGGAAGTCAAAAATTGAATGAAGATTTTTAAAGAAAATCTTTCATATTCTGCTTTCGTATTTTGCCCAGACTTAGCACACATTCAAAAGAGAGGCTGGGCTGTGGGTGGAATTCTCAACAAGCACAGCTGCACTAGCACAGATCATGTGTATCATCCTTTCCTGACTCAGGAATTCAAGGTTGAGCACCATGTTCTGAGAGAGGTAAAGAACACCGGACTGAGCATTATAAAGATGATGGGGCCAGAGATCTGAGAATAATTTCATTTGCAGATATTGAAAGGGACTTTTCAGATAGCATGTCCCTCTACGATCTCTAAGGCTTATTGATATTGGTGGATCTAAACTTAATATCTTGAATGGATATGTGGGCATTGGCTGGGAGGATGCTATGGGAACTGACAGGGCCCTGAGAAGAATGGACTGGGAAGTAACCATAGGTATTGGAAAGAATTTGTCCTTGGTTAAAGTGAGCAGTAGGGACTTCAGTCATAGAGTAAGTGAAGACAGTTTACACAGGTACCATTGAGAATGATTGTTGGTTCCCCAACTGTCACACATTCTCACACAGATATTCTTGGCTTCAAGGGTAAATTTGTTTGTTTGTTTTGACTAACCAAGTGAACACAAAAAAGATCAAGTCAGTTAAATCATCAGCTTTCTTGAAGTGGTAGATATTTTGAATGAGTTGATTGTCAGACTCATCTGTAGGTATAAACTTTTGCTTAAGCAGAATTTATGAAATTTTTTTCCTTCTAGTGGTGATGACAATTTTATCTTGTTATATCACTCTTGTCAGGTTCTTCTAGCTACAAAAACATGCATTGTGAATCAACGGGAAGGAGTGAGCCCAGCTGGTAACCTGACACCAGGAGCATGTGAGTCCACTTGGAAGGCAATTCTGTTAGTTTGATGCCATTAGCACATACCTTGGACCAATAAGCTTCTCAGCTACAGACAAATGTTTCCACATTAATGGTGAGACACCCTTAAACAGTAAATAATATCTGAATATAAATCCTCATCGTCTGTGTCCACACATGACACTCCCAGGCTGCATCTGTGTAGGTTCTTAAAAAGAAAGCCAACTGAAGCAGACCCTAAAGCCTTACATTATAAAGTAAAGGGATAAAAAAAAAATACAAAAATTCAGCCACATTATGGCCTCCTTATCAATAAGATCTATTACTCTGTTTTGGGTGGAAATTGAAGTGGTCTGCTCTGATTTTCCCTTTAAAAGGTCATGTAAATTACTACCTACATTAAATGCTCTGTTGGTTGCTGGAAACCTGTTGGGTCTGTCTCTTCTCAGGTATTAAATGTGTAATGACCAGTTTGTAACTCTTGAAGATATTTCCCTCTTAAAAAAAAAAAAGTCTTACAAAAGATAAATTTCCTTTTTTTTTTTTTTTTTTTTTTTAACTTCAGGATACCTTCTGAAGGTTCTTTAAGAACCTTCAGATATTTTAAATATCTGTGATAGGCCAATGGAGCATTTTCACTTTGGTTTCTCTGACATTGTTTTACTAAATGTTAATCCATTATCTCTGTTTTTCATCTGCACCTTTATGGTAGAGCAGGCCAACTAAATGATTTCTTCTAAGTTTTACTTATAAGATTTTACAGAACACTTTCACAAGTGTTAGGGTTGTATACACACTCATTAGTTCTCTGTATGTGTCTGATGTAATGATAACATTCATTGTACATCTGTCTAAAGCTTTATAGATTCTAAACTGTTTAGAAAATTTTTATATAAAACAATTCCTCAAAAAAATCAATAATTGCAAGCCTAATCTTTCTAGTTGCTTTTATGTATCACTAGGCTGCTTGACAGTTTACAGGAATTTCCTGTTCCTATCAGATCAAGTCCAGATTCCTCCTCTTGGCATTTACAAAAACACCCCCATCCTACCCTTAATGCAACCAATTAGTTCTTCCAAGCTTCCCCAAAGAAGACGGTCAATCTCTGAAGTTCATGGAATAGGCTATAGTCAGTTCTGCCTTCTTTCATTGTTTTCATCGTTTCAAGTTTTACCTTCTGCTACTTTTGCAAATACTTCCAGCACATCCTCTCCCATCTCATGGTCTTCCTTCTCCAAGATGTCACTTAATCTCTCACGTTGATACCAACTTCTCCTTCTACTGAAGTCTCAGAGCCTGTACATTCTGATCAAAGACTTTTTCTTTTGCATGCAATTGTGTATTTGATAATATTTTATGTATATATATATATGTGTGTATAAACGTCGACATACGTTTTATGTATATCTTATGTTTTCAAGAAGATAAGTTCCCTGAAGGAAAGGGCCACATTGTATGTTTGTACTATTGTACTCTGGTACCTAATGCTTCACCTGACGTACATCACTTAAAAGGTGTCCCTGGCTGGGCGTGGTGGCTTATGCCTACAGTCTCAGCATTTTGGGAAGTTGAGGCAGGTGGATCACCTGAGGCCAGGAGTTCAAGACCAGCCTGGGCAACATGGTGAAATTGCATCTCTACTAAAAATACAAAAATTAACTGGGTGTGGTGGCATCTGCCTGCAATTCCAGCTTTTCAGGAGGCTGAGGCAGGAGAATCGCTTAAACCTAGGAAGTAGAGGTTGCAGTGAGCCAAGATCAGTCTCCTGCATTCCACTCAAGCCTCTGTAACAAAGTGAGACTCTGAAAAAAAAAGTGTCCCAACTGGAATTAATTACTCCACTCCCTGTAATACTGTCAGCCTTGATGTTGTTTATTCAGCTATTAAAGCACTTATCACAGCTGTTTCCCACTGTGTATTGTGAGCTCTGGATGAGTCACAATCCTGTCTAATTCATCTTTTTATCTCTCAAAGTACCTAAGATGGCATTGTGTATAAAAAGAATTTCACAATACTTGCTAATTAAGTTTCTATTAAATTTCAACTTTATTTAACATGTCAGCCTTCTCAATAGCCATCTTTTTGAGGAACAAACATTTCCACAGTTAACACTGATTATACTTGAAATTATGTTGGCATATGGCACATGAGAAGAAAATCTTTGATGCTTTCCTAATTTGTTTACTCAAAAATAATGTTAAAGTCTAGATTTAAATATAAGTTAGTCAGTTGTGCCGTCAGATCATCTTTATTTAAGGGGCAGTTGCTATATCAAAAATGCAATAACACATATTATTAAGCATAGGCAGTACTTTCTATAGAAATGTTAATATAACAATGTGTTACACAGTTCTCAGCATTTTACATTATTGTTAATTTATTTACTTCAGTGTCTTTATGAATTAATTGATATGCAACTGGCAAAAGTGAAATGAAAATTGTATTTTCATTGTATCGTTCAAGAAAACTTTATGACATAATCCATCCATAACTGATTACCTTGTATTTTTCTTGTGCTTTTGATGTGAATATGACACGATTTCTTTCCTCAGAGGTGGGCAGAACTTTTCATGGACTTGGACAGCCATGGGAAATCATTTCGCCAGGACTTTGGGTAATTTTAATTAAAAATTCAGTTCAAGTCAATCTCTTACGCTTATCAGAAGCATCTGCCATGTTTTCCCGACTTAAGAACTTGAGCTGAAAATATGAGCATTTTCCGGTTATAAAAGCGCCACATCTGTGTAAAGTTAAAATAGCTTCTAAGGACCATTTTCAACACATTTGGATCTTCCAAATTATAGTTTTTAAAATGCAGCTTCAGAAAACAACACTGATGCCTCATTCAGTGGTGTGACTGCATTTCTTGCTTTACATGATGCCTTCTCCCTCAGCATGTGTTTAATTCCTTGTACCATTAGTCTACTCTTAGTTTCTTCATTAGGCTCATGGCCAGGACATAGCACACTGCCTGCCATGTAACATTTGTTCAAAAGTACTTGTTGATTGAATGAATGAGTGAATTAGTGAGTCTAAGGATAAAAGAGCCCTGAAAGCCCTGTCTTCATTTATTTCTCCTATGAGTTCTAATTGTAATTACTGATTCTAGCCTGGAATGTTCTTCAAAGAGAACACTGCCCTTAAGCTCCTGAGATTAATTGGTGAAAATTAAACAGAGAATCAGAGGATCAGAAAGATAAAGTGACTTTTCACAAACAAGAAAATATTTGAACTATACATTTTATTAGAAAAGGCACTTCTGTTAGAAAATTCTACAAAACTCCAACACCAACAAATCTACAGTATGAAGTTTCCCTTGATTTACTTCTGATGTTTATTGCAATCTCACAATAACCAAAACAAAAGTCTTGTAAAGTCTGTCTGTTCTTGCTCAAGGCTCAGATCTTGGTTCCTGAATCAGATTTTTGTTCCTTGTTTAGGTAAAGCCTGAATTTTTTGGACTTCGAGGCTACACTGGCAGGGTTATCAAGTTATACAGCTCCAATGTATTCCATGTGAATGGTGCCCTGGGAGATCTGCCCCATGGTGGTGTCATATGCCTGAACACATAGCTGTGTTCATTATCCCAAGGTATTTCTTTGAAAAAAAACTTTTCTATCTTTAAAAGTCTGATGTTACCCATCTATATTAGTCAAGTTTCTTCAGAGAGACAGAACCAATAGGGTAAAGATATAAACAGGCATAGATATATGGGAGAGGATTTATTAAACAAATTGGCACACATGATTATAGAGGCTGAGAAGTTCTATGACATGTCATCTGCAAGCTGCAGACCTTGGGATGCTGGTAACATGGCTCAGCCCAATCTGAAGGCTTCAGAACCGTGGGAGCCGATGGTGTAACTCTACTCTGTGGCCAAAAGCCTGAGAAGAGGAGTGGAGAGGGGGATGAGGAATAGTGTAAGTCCAAAAGCTAGGGAGCCTGGAGTTGTTGTCCAATGACAAGAGAGGAAGAGTGCACCCCAGCTCCAGCACATACATCAACATATTCACCTTGTCTCTGTTCTCTCTTGGCTGCTAGCAGATTACAAGGTGCCTGCCTGCATTGAGGGCAGATCTTCCGCACCCAGTCCACTAATGCTAATCTTCTCTGGAAACACTCTCACAGACACGTCCCAAAATAATGCTTTATCAGGTTTCTACATATTCCTTAATCCAGTCAAGTTGACACTTCAAATTAACTATCTCACCGTCATGTAAACCAAACCGTAGCACTTTTTACTAAACCAGTGTGGTCTATGGATAACAATTCAAGTCATTCTTTTGATGGTAAATCACACTAGTTTAAATCATGAGTTAGATGTGTAGGGGGCTTCCAATCTCTCCATTTCCCTACTTTACTAGGGTTTAATTGACAAATAAAAATTGCGTATGTTTATAGGGTACAATGTGATGTTTTGATATATGTATACATTGTTATATGATTAAGTCAGGCTAATTAGCACACATTGCCTTACATACTTGTTCTGTGATGAGAACATTTAGGAGTTACTCTCTTAGCAATTTTCAAGTATACATTTTTACTAACTATAGTCACCAATAGATCTCCAAAAATTACTCTTCCTAATTGAAATTTTGTAACCTTCGGCCAATATCTCCCAATTCCTCCCCTCTGCCCATCCCTTACAACCACTGTCCTACTCTCTGCTTCTATTGAGTTCAACTTTGTCTTTATTATTTGACAAATATAAATTTTATATTATGTACATGTTGTTTTGAAATATGTATACATTGTGGAATAGTTAAATTGAGATCATTATCATATACATTACTTCATATACTTATTATAATGAACACCTAATATCTGCTCCCTTATCAATTTTCCAGAATATAATACATTGTTATTAACTATAGTTACTATGTTGTACAATAGAGCTCTTGAACTTATTCCTCCTTTCTAACTGAAATGTATCCTTTGACCAACATCTCCCCAATCTCTTCCCCAGTCCTTTGTAACCACTGTTCTACTCTCAGTTTCAATGAATTCAACTTTTTTAAATTCTATATGTGAGATAAGGCAGTGTTTGACTTTCTATGCCTGGCTTATTTCACTTAACATGATGTCCTTCAAGTTCATCCATGTTGTTACATATGACAGAATTTCCTTCTCTTTTAAGGCTATATAGTAGATATTGCAGATATTTACCACATTTATCCATTCATCCATCCATTGATGGACACTTAGGTTGATTCCATATCTTGACTATTGTGAATAATGAATGCTACACTGAATGTGGGAGTGGGCCAGCTCTATTTAATAAGAAACATTACCAATTCCCACAGAATTTAGTTCTTTTTAAAATATCATCTGCAGGATATATATATATATATACACACACATACACTATATATATTATATATATAACATATATGTAATATATAATACAGGTGATGTACATAGATACTACAGATATACATATGTATATATAATATATTTATTTATAATATATATATATTTGTAAATATGATGTTCCTTAAGAAATCATGTTTCAAATACTATGTAATCATTTGTAGAACTGAGAGAAGATTTTTCTAGATCGAAGGCTCACATTGTATCAATTTTCCCGATTAAAAAAAAAGCACTTGAAATGAAATTTGCAATAAATCACTGTTTTTTAATAGTATTTTATGCAAAGCTCCAAAAGCAATTCAGTTACTCCAAATACATTTTTTTTTAATTAGAAAAAATTTTTAACTATGCAATGTACATTTTGGTTTATAATAAGTGGTATGGTTTAGATCTGTGTCCTCACCCAAATCTCATGTTGAAATGTAATCTTCAATGTTGGAGGTGATGCCTGGTGGGAGGTGATTGGATCATGGGGGTGGTTTCTCATGAATGGTTTAGCACCATCCCCCTCATGCTGTTCTTCTGAGATCTGGTTGTTTAAAAGTGTAAAGCACCTCCCTGCTTTCTCTATTCTTGCTTCTCAGGCCATGTGAGATGTGCCTGCTTCCCCATCACCTTCTAACATAATAGTAAATTTCTTGAGGACTCCCCAGAAGCAGAAGCTCTAGGCTTCCTGTATATCCTGCAGAACTGTGAGCTAATTAAAGATTTTTGCTTTATATGTTACCCAATCTCAGGTATATCTTTGTACAATGCAAGAATAAACTAATACAATGAGTAAGCTATATTTCACACAAATACCTGTTCTATGGATTCCTGTCTTCATTCTCTGTAAGTTAATCATTTTCTACTTTCTGCATCTTCAAATTATCCATTTCCATGAACTTTTTTGATATGAATATTCAAATATTTTCAAACCTATCTTATTTAAAATTGACATTTAAAAAAAGTCTTTCAATTTGGTTCCCCATTTAGCTACCTCTCATTTACCTTCCTACACCACCAAATTTCCCAAATAGCAATCTTATGTTGACTCTCTGTACTTCTTCATCTCCCTTTCACTCCTTACCCCAGTACAAACTGTGTCCTTGTCCCACCACCATACTGAACCTGTTCCCAGTAAAACTGTCTCTGACCTCTGAACTGGGGAAGCCAACAGGTACTTCTGTCTTTACTAATCTTGTTTGCTTCATATAATACCACTGGCAGTACTCCCTTAAAAAAAATTCTTCCATTGGTTTTGGTAAAACCATTCTGTCCTCATTTTCACTCCTCCATCCTCTTTGGCTAATTCTTCTCAATGTCTCCTGATGACACAATTCCTTTTTCTCAACCAAAATCACAAGTGTTCTCTAGGGTTCTTACCCACCCTTCTTTTCTTTTTGATAGATATGCTTCTGGAATAACTCATACTGCTCATAGCTTTAAATATTTATATACAAATAACTTTTAAATCAATATCTCTACACCAGATATTTCATCCCATTTATCCAAATGACTACTGGATATTTCAGTTTGAAAATCCCATTAAGCTTCCAACTCAAAATGTCCAAAGCCATGGTGTTCATCCTTTCCATACGTGAACCTTTCCCCATATCCTCTATCACAATGGATAGCATTACCAACCAGTCTGTTGTCAGAGCCCTGGGAACTATCCTTGATACATCGCTTTTCCTCCTGGCCTCCCATCAAATCTTTAAATCATGTTGATTCTACTTATGAAATATCTCTTAAATTTATCCTCCATTTTCTATCTCATTGACATTATCATCATGATTCCTTTAGAATAGTAGGCTCTAACTTTTTCTTGCTTGGAATTTGTAGTATATTCTTTCTTTGCTGGTCTTCCTGGTTTGAGGTTCCCTGCCCTCCATCCCTTCTTATAGACTGTGGCAACAGCGGATTTTCTAACATTCAGATTTGTTATGCCATTGCCTGCTCATAATTCTTAAACGGTTTTCCATTGACCCAGTATATATGTTAACCTGTTTAACATAGTGTTAATGACCTTTTATGATGCTTCTCCCAATCTGCCCAGTCTTATTCTGCACTACTCATTATAACACATTTTAGGCTTTAGCAATGCTAAACCATTTGCATTTACCAAAAGATATCATACTCTTGCCCCTCCAGTGCTTTTTAAATGATATTTACTTTTTCCAGAGTGATATTTTGCATTTATATCGCACACACTCACAAACACAAATCTGCCTTACATACTTGTAGTCATCTTCCAACTTTTACCACGTTTATCCTTCCCTGAATTAATCCTCTGCCTCCTCTATAATGACTTTTAGGGCTCCTATTTTATCTGTCATGTGAAGTGTTGACAATTTGCTTTTATGTGCCTTTGCCCTACACTCTTTAAGTTCCCTGGGGGCAGAAATTGCATCCACAGACTTCATAAAGTAATTTGTACATGGTTGGTAATCAAAGTAGATGGTGAATGAGTGAAAAGAAATTTAAAAAATACAGGTTCTCCTCATGATTGAGGGTCATTTACTTGAAAAATATTTTTATGAAAATGAAAAATGCTAAGTCAAGATTGCAAGTAATTGTTTTCTTTGATCACAACATGACATTGTTTCGAAGTTCTTTCTTCATCAGCAACACAAAGCTCTTAAAAACACCAAAAATTCTCCATCCTAAAAAGGAACAGTTTGGCATAATCCCCCAAAAGTGACATAGGCAAAAAGGAACAATAACACATGATTGGGAGACTGGGAAGATTGTAAAGTGAGTCACAGAATTATAACCTATCTACTCCACCCTGTGAAGGACATGCTTCCACTTGCCTGCTCTATGTATAGAGAATGATCAGATACTATGTTTGAATGAAACAGTAATTTACAGTCACCATTGATTTAAAATGATTCACAGACAATTATTAATCCTTCTATCTATCTCTGGATTTTCATCATCAAAATTATTTTGTAGTATTGCCTACAAATATTAAAGCAAGATGAACTCCATAAAATGAGGTACCTTAGACTGGCAAATCATTATTATATGTATCAAAAATGGTGGACAAGCAACAGTTATGGGTAACATGATGACTCTTGTAAACAGCATATTGAACCAAAGAAGCTGGACACAGGAAGATACTTACATACTAAAGTTTTTCCCACACCAGGAGATAGACAAATTAAGAGAAGCAAGAATAAATTGCCTCAAAAGTCAGTGTAGTGATTGCCTTTGAAAAGAGATTGAAAGGGAACACAAAGAGCTTCTGGCCTGTTGGTAATGTTGTTTGTTGGCCTTCGTGGTGATTACATAGGTATTTACTACATGAGAACATTGTTGTGTACATTTTTGCTATATGTCATAATGTTAAACATTAAGTGCACAAGAAAAAAAGAAATATTAGTTCCTAAATTATTCTGTAGTTATAAAATCAAACACGAAAAGCTGAAGAAGTTGCTGTACTTTCAACTATGTGCTTCAGGGATCTTAATCTCCACTGTGGAAGATAAGATTATCACACACATATACAAATAGCCTCTTATTTCCCTAAGTGTTATATTCCATTTGTTTGGTGTCATATTTATGTTGCAAAAATTATGATTTTATATTTTCTCTTTGTAATCATAATTATCCAGAGTTGCTAAACATTGTTTTATATGTAAATGGATTCAGTGTTTGCTGAATACCTGTATTTTTATCATAGTTCCCATCTCATTATGTTTGTATGTTTTATAGAAAACATTTAAATATGTGAAAAAAATTAAAAGTGATATAACAAACACTTATGCCCCACCTCCCACATGTAAGTAATGTTAATCAATTTGCTTCAAATTATGTTTTGTGAAGTAAAATCTTACAGATAGTATTGAATACACATTAGAACTTATATCCAGCTTTTTTTACTATTCTACTTACAGTCATTTATTGACATGACTTCAGTTTTTCTCTATATATAAATTTTAGCATATATAATATGCATCTATAAATAAAATAGAGGATTATTTTAAAAAATGATTGACATGAATATTTTAAAGGT